ACATCAAAATTCGCGAGAGCATAATTTCGTCAATTTTCCACCAAATTTCGTACTTTTTGTTTTATTACCTTCACAAAAAGATTCTCTACGATTTCATAAGAAAAAATAACAAATTTTTTTTTTTTAAATTCTTGGACACTGGTGCGTGACTCCAGATTTGGGCCTTGGACCCTGAAAGGGTTAAACCAAAAACACTGAGTTTTTTTTCATGCACTGCCTGCTGCAGGATTTTGTTTATACTGCATACACTGACCACTCAGACCCATTCTCTCATATGTAGGAATACCAGCTTTCTCCCACAAGATTGGAAGCCGGAAGAATTTTGGCGTAGCATTACGAGACTGACACTGGCTTGCAAGCCAGTGTCGGTCTTGGGACCAACAGTGAAAGGGTTTGGGATATTGGGTGTTTGAAGTGACACCTGAACTATCGTATCTGGGTGCCTCTGCAAAGACAGTGATTATGTGTGAATGATGGTGAAAGCATTAAATGATGGTGAAAGTGTTTCTTATTTGGGTCACCCTGCCCCAGTGGGATACGATCAGTTTGTTGAAAAAAATATATACATGTATATATATATTTATTTATTTTAGAAGCTTTTTGCAAAATGGCTCACTAATTATTCTTTATTGTCAGGTTATTTGCTGTTACGTGGGAAGAACTGCATCCCCATGACTCCACAAATTTCTGGTCCCTCTTCCAAAGACTTACCTAAAGATCATAAGAGAGTTCCCAAGATTGGTCCTGAAGGCAGCAAATCTGCTGCTGTGCATCAAATGCTGCTTGAAGCATCCACTGGAATAGATCCAGACAGTTCGCCCTTATCAGACGTTCCTCCTGAGCCTCTGCCAGCACCTTGTCCACGTAAACACAAACCACGCAAAGGACCACCTCCACATGTTGTACTGATGAATGAGCTCAGAGATTCTTTGTGGAACACTTACTCTGATAAAGGTACACAGCGGGCTAGTGATCTAAGTAGCCATGGAATCATATCTGCTAATAAGAAGCAACTTTTGCGATTTCGTAATGAGAGGTTAAGCCGTGGGCAAATAAAGTATCTTACCTGGCTTGGTTTAAACTTAGCAAAGAGAGCATCAAAAAATTCTTATCTGGATTCGTTAGAAGGGAGTCATATAATGATGGATCTTGGAATGTTTGGGTTGAAGGGAAGTGCTCGTCCACCACCAAGCTGGTCTCTAGTTCTTGATTCTCAGGGTAGTAGAATAGATACTGATGCAGCTGTGAGGCCAAAAGTCAGCCAGAGTCAAACTACTCTGGAAGATGGTATTGCTCAGGATCATTTGCCTGGTGCTAAACTCATGCAGCCTCCTCCAGCACACACTACTGCATTAACTGTACCTCATATGTATAGTACTAACACTTTGCCACCAGGACATGTTTATGCCACAACTTTCCTGGCTCCAGGGCAGCTTCAGACTGGTCAAGGACAGTTGCATGTTCTTGCTCCCATTCCAGGTGTACAAGATGGAAGTGGCTCTCTATCATCAGCACAGGTTCATACCCAAGCAGTTGTCAATCAAGGAAGGATGTATGGTCAGACTGCAATTCCTCCAGCCCATGTCCCTATCTCGACAGGTATTCCACCAACAGCAGTAGTACAAACAAGTTCTCCCATGGGGACAAGAATTTTGAGTGTAGACCATACAGGCAGAGTTCGAGAGACATTAAGTCAAGGCATACCTACAGCATACAGTAGATATCCATCGGCACCTAGACCTGACGGCTGGAACACTTCCAGGTCAAGCGGCCGTTCATCACCGCCTCCGCCTCTTACATTTATGGGAGGAGGTGCTTTAAGCAGCAACTTAAAAGCCTCTAGAGTGATGCCACCACCTCTTTCATTCATGGGAGCAGCTTCAGAGACTTCAACAAGACCAGTCATGCAGTTGAGTTACTCACAGGCTAGTCCAAGGTCACTTCATGCAGGGAATTGGGCCCGAGCTTTAGACTTAAGTCAGCAGGGGTCTGCCTCTCAAAATTATAGTGTTATTAACCATACAAGACAGGTTACAGATAAACGACCACCAAATCTCTCATATGCTGCTCAAGGGCACATTGTAGTGGAACAACAGCAGCAGCAGCAACAGCAGCGCCAGCAACACCAGCAGCAGCAACAGCAGCGCCAGCAGCAGCCAGTTATAACGTATAATAACAAGAGTCAAAGTGGTTTGGAGCAGCAGCCATCTCGAGCAGGAAATGCTGTGCAAGCACACACAGTTCCTAATCAACACCCATATAATATAACACACACAGTTCAGGCACAAAGGCCACCAGGTTTTCCTCAATGCAGTCAAGAGCAGCGTATTTTGAATCACAGACAAAATAGTTTGCTAGAAGAAGTGCACAGAAAAATTACAGCTAATCAGAAACAGCCTGACTTGCTACAGGCTGAACAAGGTTCTCCTACATTGAGCAAGCAACCATCAAGCCTTCCACAAAATGAGCAAATGCATTCTGTATTGAAAAAACAGGTGCCAAGCTGGCCACACATTTCTAATAGTCAGGTTGAGATAAGCCAGCAGCCATCATCTGTTCTAAGTGCCACCCAAAGGTGTGCTGCATTAAATCAACTTCCACCAGGTATATTACACAGTTCACAAGTTCAAGTTAAAGTTATAATGGAGCATCGACCACCAAGTTTGCCACGAAGTGTGACAGGATCTACAGCCCCTAGCTTACAGTCTCCGGTCACATCTCGGCCAGAAACATCGGACTCTAAGAGCAGTAGTAGTCCTGCAGGTTTGTTGTATTCTACACAATTCGTGCATTTTTCTAATTAACATCATAAAGCACACACATACCTTTTATTTAATACTTGAATATTTCCATCATGTATTGGAGTTTCCTTAAACCAGATTTGACATTCTAGAAAAACTGGAAAGCATTTTTCGTGAATGCGACCCACAATGGTTGGTTAATACTCTGGTATCTAATTTTACTGCTAAGTGGACAGAGGTAGCTGGGGTATAAAGGAACTTAATCTAGGGAGTTGAACCTGGTGCATAAACTGTTTGACAGTAAGCTAAACAGCATCTATCTCATACATACTATCTCATACATAAACACTTTTAAGGATAATACAGCCTCTCCTCACTTAACGATGGAGTTGTGTTCCTAAGACCACATCGGTAAATGAATCTGTCACTAAATGAGGAGCATACTGTAATGGGAGTGAGTTTGTGTCAGCCATCTTTGATATTGGTTTAATGTCACCTTTGCACCATTTGTAACATTTCTGGTATATTTTTAAATGTTTATACAGTAGTGTATTGTATTTTGAAATAAACAGAATAGAAGAAATCAGCTTTTAATATACATTATTTAGGTATGAATACTGGTCAGAGGGCCTGTCGTAAGTCCGAGACGTTGGTAAACGAGTACATCATTAAGTGAGGAGAGGCTGTACAGCGCATGTGGAATGAGGTTCGGTTAGGTTTGATTTCTTATAGGTATCCACATGTAGACAATATGTACACTGGGATTATGATAACTAGTTGGTGATTCCATAGGCATATTTTCTCCAGCTACAGACAGTATGTGCTATTTTGCATGACTGATTACCTGCCTGGAGGGTATTTCAGGATCAACACCCCCGCAGCCTGGTCCACAACCAGGCCTCTGGTGGATCAGGGCCTGATCAACCAGACTGTTACTGCTGGTCGCACTTGGTTCAAGATATGAACCACAGCCCGGCTGATCCGGCACCAACTTTAAGTATCTGTACAGCTCCCTCTTGAAGGCAGCCAGGGACCTATTGGTAATTCCCCTTATGCCTGCTAGGAGGCTGTTGAATAGTCTGGGGCCCCCATACACTTATTGTGTTTTACTGTACCAATGGTGCCCCTACTTTTCACTGGGGGTATTTTGCACTGCCTGCCCAGGCTTTTGCATTCATATGGAATGATTTCTGTGTGCAGATTAGAGATCATTCCTTCTAGGATTTTCCAAATGTAGATTATGATATCTCTCTCTTGCCTGCATTCCAGTGAGTACAAGTCAAGTGCTTCCTAGTTATTCAAATTACGTAGAATTCACAATGGGGAGGTGGCTGCTCTTCGAGTTTCAAGTTTTTTTTTTTTTTTTTTTTTTTTTTACACAGGAAATGTGGAGGCTTGATCCTCTGATGTCTCAGAAAAGGCTGGAGAGCATAGCTGCCCAGCTGGTGTAGGTGGGTCAGAGAACTAAGAGTTTTATTTTATTTTCTGACTGGGACTTTGATCCCCTGAACCTTACTGATGAGAGGTGTGACTCTGTTCATTGTGCTGTGGCAGCTGGTGTTTAAAAAAAAAAAAACGTGTGTGACACTATAGGTTCATATCTATGAATCCAAAGAAACAGTGAATGTCTGGATAAGGCTATGGTGCATGCCCATCCATATGGCCAGGTTGTTTTGCTCTCCGGTCTTCTCTGAGATATTAGGGGATCAAGCCTCCATATTTCCTCACTTTAAAAAAAAAAAGGTAATTAAGACCCTTCAAGATGTTTTGATGTTAATGAAGGTCTCTTGATATAAGGAATTGGAGCTACCCTGGTCATGGACCGGGCCGCGGGGGCGTTGATCCCCGGAATAACCTCCAGGTTCCCTTCAGATCAAACCTGATTACCACCCATTTTTCAGGCATCCATTCACTATGGTGGCATAAAATAAAAACCACAGCTTAAAACAATAAAGCTTAACAGATTTACGGGACCCTAATATTTTTCTCTACTGTACACCACACTAAACCACTTACATTATTGTCATTAGTGTGATATTTTAGGAGGCATTGTGCATGCAACACAGACTACCTACTTCAGCCAAGTGTGGCAGTAACTGCTATGACATTTCTCAAGTGAAGGCAGGTTGTCTTGATAACATTTAAGTTTCTCAATGTGTCAGTCATCCTGTATTGAAATTATGTCTACAATATGGGAATGTTAGACTGGGGATTGTTGTGTAATTAGAGTGAAACCTCACTTTAACACACTTAGGAAGTACAGGATAAAATCTGCTGGGTTGGTTGATTCAGAAACAGTGGACAAAGTCCATTAGCTACAAAATTGTTTAGTATTGTTATGATCGGCAAAACAATCTGATCTGTATCTACCACAGTTGCCATTACTGACCACCTGCTCCCACTCCCAATAGTCCATCAAATTGAGTTTATTTTATAGTATATCAAGAACTGCTGAGTATAATTTATTTTATGGAAGAGTTATTATTGAAAGAATTAAGGGTAAGACAGAGAGCAGTATCACAGGTGAGCAAGGAGATTCTAGGAAGGGTAGGGGATATGTATACTAAATATTTACATTGAAGCAAAGAAGTGAATAATATTTACATAAGGGTAAGAAAGTTTTGTAATTAAGACACTGTGCAACATCTGGGTATCTTTATTGTAGACGTTTTGCCATTCAGTGGCTTTATCAATACAAATTCCGGGACATAACTTGAAGACGGTAGAGCTATATACAGAAGATGATTACCTCATCTTCTGTATATAGCTCTACTGTCTTCAAGTAATGTCCTGGAATTTGCATTGATAAAGCCACTGGATGGCAAAACGTCTACAATAAAGATACCCAGATGTTGCACATGTCTTAATTTCATGTTGTCGGTATTGTATACCATTTTTGTACAAGAAAGTTTTTGTTGCGTTTATGGATTTAAAAAAGGAATGTGATAGAGTGGATAGGAAAACACTGTGACAGTGGTACATTACTGAAAGCAGCTAAGGGTTTTTATGAGGATAGTGAGGCTCAGGATAAGTTATGTAGGAGTGAGATTATTTTCCAGTAAAAGTAGGCCTTAGACAGGGATGTGTTATGTCACCATGGTTGTTTAACTTAATTATAGGTAGGGATGTAAAAGAAGTGAATGCTAATGTGTTGGGATTAAAATGTATGCTAATGTGTGGGATTAAAATGTATAGAATCTAACACAGGAGGAGTTGTCACAGTTGCTTTTTGCTAATGACACTGCTTTTGGGAGATTCTGAAGAGAAGTTCCACAGGTTGGTGGATGAATTTGGGAGGGTATTTAAAAGAAGGAAATTGAAAGTGAATATAGAAAAGAGCAAGGTGATGAGAATAACAAAAAAATTAGGTAATGAAAGATTAAACATCAGATTGGAAGGAGGGAGTATGGAGGAAATGAATTTATTCAGATATTTATGAGGGGACTTGTCAGCAGATGGGTCTATGAAAGTTGAGGTGAACCATAGAATTGTAATATAGTTGGTAAAATTACTGACAATATGTAAAGTAAAAGGACACAAGTGCAACTAATGTGACATTTTATTGTGGCAACGTTTCGCTCTCTAGGAGCTTTGTCAAGCTGTTACCGTAACGGCTTGCCAAAGCTCCTGGAGAGCGAAACGTTGCCACAATAAAATGTCACATTAGTTGCACTTGCGTCCTTTTACTTTACAACCATAGAATTGATGAGAAAAAGGTGGGTGGTGCATTTAGGCACCTGTGGAGACAAAGAACATTATCCATGGAGGCAAAAAGGGGTGTGAAGTAAGGGTGCTGAATGTTGCAATGAGGAGAAGGCTGGAGGCAGTGGAAGTGTCGTGTCTGAGGGCAGTGTGTGGTGTAAATATTATACAGAGAATTCATAGCTTAGAAATTAGGAGGAGATGCAGGATTACTAAAAGTATTATCCAGAGGGCTGAGAAGGGGTTGTTGAAGTGGTCTGGACAGTTAGAGAGGATGGGGCAAAATATGATGATTAGGAGTGTATAAATCTGTAGTGGAGAGAAGGCAGGGTAGGGGTCACCTTAAGAGAGATTGGAGGGAGGGCATGAAGGAGGTTTTGTACGTGAGGGGCTTGGACATCCAGCAGGTGTGTGAGTGAGTGAAGACAAGTGGTTTTTATGACTTGGCAAGCTGTTAGAGTATGAGCAAGGTAACAATTATAGAGGGATTTATTTTAACCAGTTAGCTGGACTTGAGTCCTGGAGGTGGGAAGCATAGTGCTTGCACTCTGAAGGTGGTGTGGGGATAATTGCAATTTAGAGAGGCATCTAAACTGTAATATCAGCACGTCTCTAGCAAGACGGTGATAGTACGAGTGATGATGACAACAGTGCTTCTTCTTTTTCACGTCACCCTGCCTCATGGGAGGCAGCTGGTGTGTTAAAAAAAAGTGTTGAAAAAAATAGTCTAAAGAAATAATAAATACAAAATATACTTAGGATGTCATTATGATCTGTTTCACACTTTCATGGCACCCAGTTGCAGTGATCCATCAGCTGCCCAGCATGTCACAAGTTGAAGAAGGACCTTCAACTTTGAACCCGCAGCCTTCATATTTGCAAAATAGCACCCAAAGATATGCTGTATTAAGCCACCAGCCACAGGGCCAAGTTATAATGGAGCAACGACCTCCAAGTTTGCCACAGAGTGTGCAAGGATCCCCGGCTTCTAGCTTGCAGACTCCAGTATCATCACGCAATGCCTCACCAGACTCTACTCGCAATCAAAGTCCTGCAGGTTAGTCATAATCATGTTAATTATTTTCTAACACACCACTAGTACGGTAAAAAACAGGATATCAAGTAATGAATAGCAATTGGTAATTTATAATAGAACAGGACAAGCAGACAGATGAAGCATAGAAGACTAACCTAGTAGGCAGGTGTGGGTCAGGTCACGTGAGTGTGGGTCAGGTCATGTGGGTGTGGGTCAGGTCACGTGGGTGTGGGTCAGGTCACGTGGGTGTGGGTCAGGTCACGTGGGTGTGGGTCAGGTCACGTGGGTGTGGGTCAGGTCACGTGGGTGTGGGTCAGGTCACGTGGGTGTGGGTCAGGTCACGTGGGTGTGGGTCAGGTCACGTGGGTGTGGGTCAGGTCGGGTAGAGCACTCTAGACTATGTGTCACACACAAACTCCACATACACACTCATACACCATAACACACACTCCCACTACTACTTTCACAGAATAAACCCCCCCCACACACACATATGCCTCACTCAAGGAGAAAGAGTATAATACCGAGTACAGGAGGGTTAGGGGAGACATGATAATGACATACAAAATACTGTGTGGAATAGACAAGGTGGACAGAGACAGGATGTTCCAGAGATGGGACACAGAAACAAGGGGTCACAATTGGAAGCTGAAGACTCAGATGAGTCAGAGGAATGTTAGGAAGTATTTCTTCAGCCACAGAGTTGTTAGGAAATGGAATAGTTTGGGAAGCGATGTAGTGGAGGCAGGGAGCATACATAGTTTTAAGAAGAGGTATGATAAAGCTCATGGAGCAGGGAGAGGGAGGACCCAGTATCGGTCAGTGACCCCTGCAACCACAATTAGGCGAGAGAGAGTGCACGCACGCACGCACGCACGCACGCACGCACGCACGCACGCACGCACGCACGCACGCACGCACGCACGCACGCACGCACACACACACACACACACACACACACACACACACACACACACACACACACACACACACACACACACACACACACACGAACAAATAAACGACACCTTAGTAAGGAATCGTTCAAGACATTGTACACTGTGTACGTCAGGCCCATACTGAAGTATGCAGCACCAGTTTGTAACCCACACCTGGTCAAGCACGTCAAGAAATTAGAGAAAGTACAAAGGTTTGCAACAAGGCTAGTTCCGGAGCTCAGGGGAATGTCCTACAAAGATAAGGTGGACAGAGACAGGATGTTCCAGAGAGGGGACACAGAAACAAGGGATCACAATTAGAAACTGAAGACTCAGATGAGTCACAGGGATGTTAGGAAGTATTTCTTCAGTCATTGAGTCATCAGGAAGTGGAATAGCCTAGCATGTGATGTAGTGGAGGCAGGAACCATGCATAGCTTTAAGACGATGTATGACAGAGCTCAGGGAGCAGAGAGAGAGAGAGGACCAAGTAGCGATCAGTGAAGAGGCGGGGCCAGGGGCTGAGTCTCGACCCCTGCAACCACAATTAGGTGAGTACACACACACACGCATGCACGCACACAAGCATGCATGGCAAAGGACCCAGGAGAATAAAGAGAGTAGTCGTAGAGCCAGAAATGAATATGCACAGGAAAGAAGGGATGCCCAGCAGCAATATGAGAATGAAATAGCAGCGAAAGCCAAATCTGACCCAAAGCTGTTGTACAACCACATCAGGAGGAAAACAAGAGTCAAGGACCAGGTAATCAGGCTAAGGAAGGAAGGAGGAGAGATCACAAGAAATGACCAAGAAGTATGTGAGGAACTCAACATGAGATTCAAAGAAGTGTTCACAGAGGCAACAGAAGGGACTCCAGAAAGACAGAGAGGTAGGGTACACTACCAAGTGTTGAACACAATACATACAACCGAGGAAGAAGCGAAGAGGCTCCTGAGTGAGCTAGATACCTCAAAAGTGATTGGGCCGGATAACATCTCTCCATGGGTCCTGAGAGAGGGTGCAGAGGCGGTATGTGTACCCCTAACAACAATATTCAACACACCTATCGAAACAGGGAGATTACCTGAGGTGTGGCAGACAGCAAATGTAGTCCCAATTTTTAAAAAAGGAGACAGACAAGAAGCACTAAACTATAAGACCAGTGTCACTGACATGTATAGTATGCAAAGTCATGGAGAAAATTATCAGAAGAGTGGTGGAACACCTAGAGAGACATGAGCTTACCAACAACAGCCAACATGGTTTCAGGGATGGGAAATCCTGTCATAAACCTACTGGAGCTCTATGATAGAGTGACAGCAGTAAGACAGAGAGAGAGATGGGTAGATTGCATTTTCTTGGACTGTTCCACATGAGATTAGTGCAAAAACCGGACCAGGCAGGGATAACAGGGAAGGCACTAGAATGGATCGGGGAATACCTGTCAGGAAAACGGCAGCGAGTCATGGTACGAGACGAGGTGTGAGAGTGGGTGCCTGTGATGAGTGGGGTTCCACAGGGGTCAGTCCTAGGGCCGGTGCTGTTTCTGAAGGAAGGAAGGAAAAGAATTCAAAGTGTCCCTGTTTGTAGATGATGTGAAGTTGATGAGAAGTCAATCGGACAAGGATCAGGCAGAACTACAAAGGGATCTGGACAGGCTGCAGGCCTGGTCCAGCGGTTGGCTCCTGGAGTTTAACCCCACCAAGTGCAAAGTCATGAAGATTGGGGAAGGGCAAAGAAGACCGCAGACGGAGTACAGTCTAGGGGGTCAGAGACTACAAACCTCACTCAAGGAAAAGGATCTTGGGGTGAGTATAACACCAGGCACATCTCCTGAAGCGTACATCAACCAAATAACTGCTGCAGCATATATGCGCCTAGCAAACCTAAGAACAGCATTCCACCATCTTAAGGAATCGTTCAGGACCCTGTACACCGTGTACGTTAGGCCCATATTGGAATATGTGGCATCAGTTTGGAACCCACACCTTGCCAAGCACATAAAGAAACTAGAGAAAGTGCAAAGAGTTGCAACAAGACTAGTCCCTGAGCTAAGGGGTATGTCCTACGAGGAGAGGTTAAGGGAAATCGACCTGACGACACTGGAGGACAGGAGAGATAGGGGGGACATGATAACGACATACAAAATACTGAGAGGAATTGACAAGGTGGACAAAGACAGGATGTTCCAGAGATGGGACACAGCAACAAGGGAACACAGTTGGAAGTTGAAGAAACAGATGGAACTCCCAGTGCCACCAATTGATTTTACAACAGACATAGGTCATTAGGGTCAGTCCCCCAAATCCTTCAAAATCCCTTTGTCGGCACAATCTGGCCCAATTTCTCAGGCAGAGTTCAAGTTGGTAGTCACTTCCTCCCAAGCCATACTATAAGGGTTATGCAGTGGAGGCTGCTGAAAGTGTTCCTCCAAAATCCGTTTAGGGGTCAAGTGAGTGTTCTGTGGTCACCAGTCAAGCACCTGTGAAACTTTGCTTTTGTGTAGAGTTTTTTAAAGTTTGCAATAACCTGCTGGTCCATGGGTTTGGAGGGAGAGTGGTATTAGGGGCAAGAACCTTTACTGTGTGGACCCTAAACTCCTCGAACATTTGGTTATCCAAGTTTGGAGGTGACAGTTGCACTGTCAGTATTAGCACACACTTGAGATCAATTTCTTTTCCGGAGATCTCCTTCAATAGGGCCTAACACATCATTGAACCACTCGACGAAAAATTTCCCTCGTGAATCATGCCTTACTATTCGATTTCAAAACACACACATTTATCTTCATACATTGTTTTTCCTGAACACACTGGGGATTTTCAGAAATGGTACCTAGTAATGGCATCACTTTGAAATCCACTAGCATTAGCACAAACATTAGCGTCAGCCTGTCTTTATAGGCTTGTGCTGGCATTGCCTTTTTCTTGGTAATGAAGGTCTCTTTAGATTTTCTTCCAAAAGAGGCCTGTTTCGTCACAATTAAACACTTGTTCAGGTTTCAGTTCCTTCACTGTTTATGTATCTGGCTTCATGCACATATTTTTCAGCGCCTTGTGGTCGAACTGGCAGGCCTCACATGCCTTACCCACACTGTGTATGCCAGTAGGTTCTTAATTTCAAACAGCCTTTGCTGGCCGTAAATTCACTCACTTCACACTATTTGCAGGCAATTTTTTTACCAAATCTCATGCAACTGCCTAGCCTTTCACAAATAAAACAAAGTCAAAAGAGTATCTCCTGCTTTGTTTCTCAATTGTCCACACAATATAATTGCAACCTCTTCCAGTACTGGTGATTCATTTTTTGACGCATAGTTACTACCTTGCACAACAGCATCCTTTATTTCATTTTTCTTGGACTATGAACATAAAGGTTGTTGTAGGGTTTCTTATGGTATAAACCCTTGGTAATAATACCGGACAGTGGTTTAGAAAGCCCGTAAGCAACACTATAACTATTTATAGAATAACATTTCGTTCTGGGACTTGATCAATTTTAACATACAGAGTAGAAAGACATTATTTATATAGGCGGAGAGTGAGATGTGACACAGTAACTGAGGAATGTTCATAAGAAATAAGAATGGAGGAAACTGTAGAAGGACCTACTAGCCATGCGAGGCAGGCGGTCCTTAGCAAAACAACCTCTGCTATGATTGAGGACGGGGTTAGACGATGGAAATATGTGAATCAGTGTTGTTGGGTTGGTGCAGCTTAAGTATCATGTAGACAATGTTTTTGAAATTAAGCGCCCAACCCAAACAACAAGGGGGCACATGATTTCATCGTTCTACCGTCTATATAGGCAGGAGGTTGTGTTTTGATAAGGACCTGCTCGCATGGGCATTAGGCCTTTACAGTGTTACTCATTCTTATGTTCTTATGACAATTCCTCAGGGTCAGAGCGTTCACATCTCACTCTCGCCTATATATATAATGTCTTTCTACCTCTGTATGTTAGAAGTGATCAAGGTCCCAGGAACGTTTTCTAATAAATATGTTATGTGTTTGTTACGTGTCTTTCTAAACCAGGGTTTCTTATTAAATCCTGGACAGTTCGGCACACTTGTACATTTCATA